TAAATATATCTATTATTAAATAAATTATTTACAATGTTTCTAATATTAAATCTATCAAGAACTGATATAGTTTTACAGATAACTAAATGCTTTTTGTTGATATATGATTTCGTTTCATTATCATTACTACCATCTTCTTTGAGTATTGTTATCAGATTCTGTAAATATAACCTGATATTGAATGATAGATTCTTGTTTGGTTCAAGTTTGTTGGTTGTTAACCACCCACTGAGACTCCTCTCATTAAAGAGAATTTCTATTTCTTTAGTTGCTATTATTATCTTAGCATATTCTTCCTCGCAATATGCATCATATATCGAGATCGTATCAGGATCTTGTACCCTGCAGTATCCCCACACTTTGTTTCTAAAAAAGGCGATCTCACTTGCCTCCAAAAAAATATTTTTAATATATATATGAAAATCACCTTTCAATATAATAAAAAGTATTGTTTTCTCTTCATCTTTGAACCCAAGACTAATAAAACAATCATCATGAATTAATTTTTGATTCATTGTTTTTTTACCTATTATTTAACTTACATTTTGCTTTAATTTATAATACAGATTTGGAAAAAAGACTCTAAATTAAAAATAATTCTCCATCTTTGTCTGGAGATGAACATAAAAAGGAAAAGATTTTCACTATAATAATCTGTAGTGTTACTAATATGGTATTATAAAATAAATTGACCAATTGAAACTCTGAGAAGAGCATCATTACCATTGTCTTAGAGATATTCACCGGAAAACTAATAATTATTATGATAGATAAAAATGATTGCAAGATAAAGAACATCAATAGTTTACATAAAAAGTGAGAATACCCTAAAGCTTTGTACGCGAAGAAAGAAAGAGAGAGGAGAACAGAGATTGTAAAAGTATGGTTGTTTGAAGTACAGGAAACATGGTCGACATAAACTATAAATTCCAATTCAGAAATTATCATTTCTACATTATATTTTAAATAATCTCTGTGATTGATAAAGGTCATCATAACAATACCGATATCAGAGAAATAAATATATTCATGAACATAGATATTAAGTAGCAGGTACATGAACAGGGTAACTACTGCTATGATAATTGATATTCTGTAAAGGATGATCTCCATATTAATTTAATTGGTTATAAATTTAAAACTTATGATCGTGAGAATGTGTACTACTGTAATACTATACTAAATTTAAAATCTCAATCCTTATAAATACACAAGTTGAGTGCTTGCAACTTTATTGTCCATCGACCAGTTATAAAATGAATTATTTTAACCGAGACAATGTTAAAAATAAGACAAAAAAAAACAGAATGATAAATGTAATTCGTTATCTAACGACCAGAAAAAATAATCATAGCATTATTCAAGGAGATAAGAATGTGTACACGGGTTTATGTGAACTTGTAACTCAGATGAAACAAAGCACATGGCAAAGATCGGATATTGATTTTGAGAGAGACGTGCGTGATCTCAGAAAACTAGATATACGAGAGAAGAATATACTGTTTATGATGTGTAGTTTTTTTCTCACAATTGATAGTGTTGTTATTGATTCATTGAATAACTCACTTCTAAAAGATCTTAAGATTCTATCCGTTCATAACAGTCAATTTAAGAAAGCGCTTGAATTTTATTCAGAACAGAATCAACAGGAAGAGGTTCATGATGAATTCTACAAGGATATGGGTAAAGCATTCTTTAGCGAGAGTTATGGAATTCTTTTAAATTGTCATGAGAATTTTTATGAGTTCAAAAAAGTATTTGATTACTGTGAGAGATATCAAGATCGAAGTTTACCACTTGGTGAAAGGTTGCTCGTCTATGCATTCATTGAGTGTATAGTATTTTTCCCATTCTTTGCATGGATAACCCGATATCGATATATGGGACACATTCCCGCAACCGTCGAGGGTAATAATTGGGTTCGAGTAGAAGAAGGAATGCATGTTAGCAGGCATTCCTATGTTTATAAGATCATCGGAGGAGTTAGTAAACCACGAGCCGAAGAAATATGCTCCGAACTTGTTGACTGTGTTAAAAATATGTGGGAAACAAGAATTCTTAGCGATGGTAAAAATGA